TCTTAAATTAATAAAATTACACTCTGTTATGATTGTGTGGTTAGGTTAATTATATTCATGATAATCACGTGCGCATAAATTAAAATGGCATCAAACCACAAACCCACACGGTGACTGCAGCTGGATTTTGTTTTCCATTTTGCTCTCTGTCCTCGCTTCTTTCTGAAACTACCTTTATGGTCCTTGACCCAGGCCCAGAAGAGTGATGTGAAAGCCAACTCGAGCACTTCTCTAACTTAAAAGATTATATGGGTGATAGAAGAAGATGAAAGAAAGAAAGTAGAAAAAATCTGAAGAATTTTGCAAAAAATTTGAATTTGGGCCTATTCTTCAGAAACACTCCCGCTACACTACAGTCCACTTTAAAGGTACTCGGTGCATTGCTGAGTGAAGGAGAGCTCATCTAAGCCATTGATAAGGATGTACAACGTAAAATAAAAGAGATATAAATGTTTGAAAGTCATAAAAACGGCCGCTATCTTGAAAAACCAATCTCAATCCTACATATAGGCTACCGCTTATATAATAAGCCCAAGTGAAGTGGAAACAATAGTGAATCATATGCAGATTTAAATTCTTTGTTCTAAACTGCAGCAATACATTATGAGTCGATTCAATTATACTAGTGTGGCAACAACCTAACTCCTCATGGATAATTTGTTTTGCTTTGGCAATAACAGCTTCACATGCAATTTCGTATGCAAGACTATGGAATGTGCGACTTGAAATATTCTTTGTTTTATATGGCTTACCTTGACATGCAATATCAGTTTTCGTACTATTTCCACAATCACACACAGTAAAATCATGAAAAACACATTTCCCACTATCCCATTGATGCAAATTTTTGGCATGGTACTTTGCTTAGGAGCTAAGTCGATCTATAAATGCTTGTTGGTCACAGCCAACAGACTTAACTATAGCAGAAAAGTTTATCCTAGCTGAATTAATGAATCCATTACTAAAACAACCAAATTCATCCTTCATCCAGTGACAGCTTTCAAAAGTAACACATCTCTCAGCACAACCAGTACAATCATAATGTAAAGTAACACAACCTTGTTGACCAATCATACTAACACAAACAATTTTAACTTACTATTACATAATGCTGTGGTACATTTGGAGGTTAAATTAATCTGATCAATAAATTTACACATTTGGCTTACTTGACCCAACAAGATTGAATTACTATTAGGTAGTTCACCAGAGTTACGTCCTTCAGGAGTAGCCAAGCTGAAATCAGGGTCATTTTTTTGAAAATGTATTAGAGTGACCTCCATTGGTCCATATGAATCGCTTTGATTCTCCCTCTTCAGCATAGCTGTCACATCAACTTCCTAAAATACAGACGAAAAATCAGGCACACTGCATGGCATGTATGTTATGGATATCATCTGCATGGTGTAGATGCTACACTAAATTTAATTTCAGTCAATGATAATGGTGGGATACTCTCAAGAGACATATCACACCCTATTAAACCATGCTTAAACACTGACCTTAGGTCTACATCACATCCTTTGACACCTGTATTACTCTAGATCTCTTTAGAATGTTTTAGGATGTGCTATTGATTGAAAGTGCACGGTGGCGCCAGGCTGCCTACCTCATTTCTATCATCAAAGTTATTTTCGGCGATAGTAGAGGAAAAGTCAGGCCCCGCTTGACTAGTAGAGGAAAGAGACATCCCAGCTGTTGTAGATCCGGTCCTGGCAGTCCACCTAGCTTTGTGAAGAGCTTCAAATCTTTTACTCTGTTTCCTTTGTGGCATTCTTGTTAAAATTGTTTTATTAGCAATTTACAGTGTGACTATGATGCAAAAGTTGTCATCAGACAATAAATACTGTGTTTATTCATGAAGTAGCCTAATTCTTTTGCTGCAGTAATATGGCTGCAAATGAAAATAGTAGCTTCAGGCCTTAAAAAAATTTACCATTATGGAACTAATGATAATAATTATTTATTTTGCAACTGAAATTATCTTACCAATCGAAACACAGAATAGTTTTTGATATTAACAAAAATTCATTTAAAATTTTTGCACTGTAAACAGACATTAACTAAAGTTCCAAATTATAAATGATGGTATCATTGAGCACTAAAGTGGTCGGTGCAATTTTAAAAAATAAATTTATGAACCAAAAAAAATTAACAGAGTTGCAAATTTATTGCAAATGAAGTAGAAGTAGATTTTTGAAACCTTAACAGCATTTTATTTCATGACCAATCGAAATGGCTAGGGTAATCACAGGTAAATTTAATAATCAAGAATAAATAACATAGACTAAGATCTATTAAATTGCAGAATTTCAAATCCAAACTCTAACATTGAGACTGTGCCCTTAACAGTCGGGCAGCCAAGCCTGATTTCTTATTTCTGACCGGAAGTGACGTTTTTCTCAAAATGGCTGACTTTTAGTGTGGTAGTGCCACTTGCCTATTTTGATTGTTTATGTCAAAGCTAAGAAGTCTACAGTTACTTTGTTGTTCTCTGAACTTTTAGCATTGGATAAAGATGTAGCAAACTGATCTTCTACATTTATAATCAAGAACTGTTCGTGTTTCAGGTGCTTGTTTCCACTGTAAGGATTTATAATGGCTGACACAAAAATCATATTAAATTCTATAACTTGTAAAATAGAGTGAATGCAATCACACTTACAAGGTAGCTTATTAGTATTATATATGCCTGTTATTCTGCAAAAGTTTCATTGCTGTAGGAGAAAAGGGAAAATTTTTCTAAGGTATTAAAGGTCCCAGCAAGTAGCCTAGCTATGTGTTTGTGTGTGTTTAGCATTGTTGTATCCATGAGTATAGCTTATAATTCTTGATGTATATG